CAGAGTCCCCCTTTATTTTAGGAGCACCCTTCGCATCAGAAGCCCCCTTCTTTCACTGAAGAAGGCCCCCTACTCTCACATCAGGAGCTGCCCCCCCTTCACATCAGAGGCATGACGCTGTGTGGAAATTTAGAGACATCCCTGAGGAAGCCTGAAGGCTCCCCATTGTGCCACGGTACCCTGGTTGAGAACGGCTGCATTAGACATAGTTTCTATACACATGTGGCTAAATGTTTTGTCTGCTGAACGATTTCTATGTTAAATTTAAAAAGTGATCCCTGCAATATATACATAGTAAAGCGACAACAAGGAGTGGAAATGGTTACAGATGGCCATTGATTGGTTTTCTTTAAAGAGGACCTGTACTGTGGAAGCTGTGCTCAAATAGAGGACAAGGCAGAGGACAAAGGACTAGTCCCCGGTATTGCCTGTGCTCTCCCTGCAGCGGATCTTTCCTGATCACTGACCATGCCTTGTTCTGTACTGTGTCCATCCGTGGAGTCAGCCATCTTGTTAGAGAAGGCCGGGCTTTTTTCCTCATGTCAGAGCTTCTCCCTGATGACTGCTGAGCTGATCACTAAGGAAAGTATAAATCAGCAGGAAAAGGGGGGAGCACAGAATAAATGAGGCAGGGAGATCCTTGCACTGCAGATCTTCAGGTACGGCTTCCCCTCCAGCACGGACAACAGTGAGCAGCACAGTAGTGACATCACCAAATCTCCCATCAAATGTGGCGAGGACACCAATCAGAGACAGCAGTGTCTATAGTGTCCCATAGTGCCATCCCATGATCCCTATATGATCCCATAGTATAGATATACAGATATGAGGCGTAGGGCACAGGAAGGAGGAATTGAAGGCAATGTTATATATTTCAGGGTACTGCTTAGGCTGTCCGGACACTATACCATCTGATTGTACAATCTGCTGTAGATTTACCAAAACTATATAACAGGAGGACCTACCTAATAGATCAATACAAACTGTATCCAATCAAGCAGGCCCTTGTGCTACATTATTATTATACAGGATTTATATAGCGCCAACAGTTTGTGCAGCGTGTATGGGAGGAGTTGACGAGGGAGCTGGAAAGCAGGATCTGTGTAGAGATAAGCCAATGAGGAGGAAGTTGCAATAGTCGAGACGAGAGATAACATAGTTGTTGGTAGATCTAAAGGAGATTATACAATCAGGTTGAATAGTATATGGTCAGCTTTAGACACAATTAACCTTTCTAGATGATCTTACCATCCCTCCTTACCATCTTGTCTTCTATTGCGATTGTAATGTCTTCCTTATATTGTAAAGCGCTGCGCAAACTGTTGGCGCTATATAAATCCTGTATAATAATATTAATAATTCTCATTCACACAGGCGTGCATATCCGTATGGCATACACGCCTGAGCAGAGACTTGCTGCCGGGAGGGACAGGTACTGTGTATGTAAATGTTTGCAGCAGCCTGTGCATCCGTATAGGAGGACGTGGCTGCACATACGTGTGCAGACAGTGGGCGTCCACGTGCGGACACCCGGACCTGCACAGATGTGCGGGATAAGGTTGTGTGTACCCACACGCAGCTGTGTCCTCTCACAAGGATTTACAGGCAGCTGCATTGTAATTACACGCAGCACCCGCCCCCCCAGGAGCACGCCCTACAGATGTGCGGGTTAAGGTTTGCGTGTAGCCGCATGCAGCTGCCTCCCTTCCACAGGGACGTACAGACGGCTGCATTGTAATTACACGCAGCACCCGTCCCTCCGAGGAGCACGCCCAACAGATGTGCGGGTTCAGGTTTGCGTGTAGCCGCATGCAGCTGTGTCCTCCCACAGGGACGTACAGACGGCTGCATTGTAATTACACGCAGCACCCGTCCCTCCGAGGAGCACGCCCTACAGATGTGCGGGTTCAGGTTTGCGTGTAGCTGCATGCAGCTGCGTCCTCCCACAGGGATGTACAGACGGCTGCATTGTAATTACACGCAGCACCCGTCCCTCCGAGGAGCACGCCCAACAGATGTGCGGGTTCAGGTTTGCGTGTAGCCGCATGCAGCTGTGTCCTCCCACAGGGACGTACAGACGGCTGCATTGTAATTACACGCAGCACCTGTCCCTCCCGGGAGCACGCCGTACGGATGTGCACGCTCATGTGAATGAGCTCTAAGCCGTATGAGTACATGGGGCCATTTTTAGAAGGCAGTTGATACACTGACATTCATCAAAACATCTTGGCAGGATTAAGTCTTCAGTCTCATACTGACCTGAGTAAAGGAGTCCACATTGGACACTGCCGCATTGGCTACTGGGGTCTGCTGTGCCAGCTGCTCAAGCAGTTCAATCGAGATTCCTATTTGTGCCACCGAAGGGGTCTGGGGTAAATTCATGGCTCCAAATGGGTGCTGGCTGCCCTCCCCTACAATGAAAAACACACAGGGGTTAAAGCCCAACTTTAGCCAATCTGTATAGAGTGGGCAACGTTCAGGAGCCCCATCAGCTGTTTATTGCAGCCTGCGCCTACATTAGGTATATTACTTTCTGTACCAATGGTATGGTGTCACAGGGAAAGGAAGGGATGAGAAATCCCAGCAATGGGGACAAAGATAGCAAAAATGTTTGCCAGGAGACAAAACTTCCCTCAGGTTTGTATTGTTCTTCACGTCTATGGTATTTCTAGGTGGTTGATACACTATATTGCCAAAAGTATTGGGACGCCGGCCTTTACACGCACATGAACTTTAATGCTTTAATGGCATCCCAGTCTTAGTCCGTATGGTTCAGTATTGGGTTGGCTTTGCCCTTTGCCGCTAGAACAGCTTCAACTCTTCTGGGAAGGTGTCCACAAGGTTTAGGAGTGTGTCTATCGGAATGTTGGACCATTTGTGAGGTCGGGTACTGATGTTGGACGAGTAGGCCGGGCTCGCAGTCTCCGCTCTAATTCATCCCAAAGGTGTTCTATGGGGTTGAGGTCAGGACTCTGCAGGCCAGTCACGTTCCTCCTCCCCAAACTCCCCCATCCATGTCTTTATGGACCGTGCTTTGTGCACTGGTGCGCAGTCATGTTGGAACAGGAAGGGGCCATCCCCAAACTTTTCCCCACAAAGTTGGGAGCATGAAATTGTCCAAAATGTCTTGGCATGCTGATGCCTTAAGAGTTCCCTTCACTGGAACCAAGGGGCCAAGCCCAACCCCTGAAACACAACCCCCCCCCATAATCCCCCCTCCCTCCACCAAACTTTACACTTGGCACAATGCAGTCAGGCAAGTACCGTTCTCCTGGCGACCGCCAAACCCAGACACGTCCATCGGATTGCCAGACAGAGAAGCGTGATTGGTCACTCCAGAGAACACGTCTCCACTTCTCTAGAGTCCAGTGGCGGCGTGCTTTACACCACGGCATCCAACGCTTTGCATTGCACTTGGTGATGTAAGGCTTGGATGCAGCTGCTCGGCCATAGAAACCCATTCCATGAAGCTCTCTACGCACTGTTGTTGTGCCAATCTGAAGGCAGCATGGAGTTTGGAGGTCTGTAGCTAGTGACTGCAGACAGTTGGCGACTTCCCCGCCCTGTGCGCTTCAGCATGCGCTGACCCCGCTCTGTCATTTTACGTGGCCTACTACTTCGTGGCTGAGTTGCTGTTGTTTCCAGATGCTTCCACTTTGATATAATACCACTAACAGGTTACCGTGGAATATTTAGTAGCAAGGAAATGTCACTGAACACTTGAATCCAAAGACTTGGGGTGTCCCAATACTTTTGGCAATATAGTGTATGTTATTGCACAGGTGACAACCTATCACGGTACCGCGCTTGTAGTCACTGAGCTCCTGAGAGCGACCATTCTTTCACAAATGTTTGTAGAAGCGTCTGCATGCCGAGGTGCGTGATCATATACACCTGTGGCCATGGAGGGGATTGGAACAACTGAACCCAATGATTTGGAGGGGTGTCCCAATACTTTTGGCAATATAGTGTCTGTATAACCAAAGCTCTAATTCCTGGTTCAGATCTTCTCAGCAATGACATGCCGAGCAGGAGTATCAGAGGCCTCACACAAGCTATGGTTTGAATATGTCCACGAGCACTTGACTGTAAAACTGAATTGCAGGACAAAATGTTGTATTTCTCAATTCACAAATGCAGGCATCATGAGATACTACCAAACCTACTAACATGTAAATACTTCCTGTCATGGGGATCAATCACTGGAGCTTCTCTGCCTCAGTGACCGATCTTCCTCCCGCTACCTAGTAGTTCATAATATCAGAAGGTTATTGTCATGAAGTTATCAGCTTTAACCCTTTTGCTGCTGTTTGGCATGCGGTGGCACCAGTGGGGCCCTGTAAGCAGTAAGATACGTGTAGAGCAGACCACCAGGTATTTATTACCTCTCACATAGATCACAGTACTTATATGTGCCTTCATCTGCTCCTCTCCAGGAGAACGGAGCCATCTCTGTTCAGGCATCATCCAGGGTCACCAGCTACTTCCCGGACTCAGATGCCAAATCAGAGATGGCACAGTCATGTAAATCCTGCTGAAGCAGTGGCGGACCTAAGGAACAAAGGGCACTCGGTGGGAGTGATCAGCGCTGGGCAGATCCGTGTACAGGAGGAAGGAGACTCCGGGCAAGCAGGATGGCAGATCAGCTGCTCTCCATTGGGTGGTATTACTTATATAAAAAAGGGAGATTTTGCTGGACAGGCACCGGGGGCACCTTTACTCCAAACTCTGCTGTCTAGGTGGGTACTGATCTACCCCGCTCCCGCCCACAGAAGCTGGTTGGACCATGTCTCCTCCAATGGGGGGGGGGGCGGGACTGAAATTCACTGGTTTCCCCGCGCCCCAGCCTCGGACCCTGGTTTGGTGGCATTGGCTGTCCCAGCGATAGGTCTGCCCCTGCTGTGAAGTTCTTAGCTGCGTTCACAAATGACACAGATCAGCCCCTGCTGTGGCCTCTTACTTTGTGACTTGCTGCATCACTGGAGAGGAGACTGAGGAAAAGCTTCCTCCTGCCTGCAGCAGACTGATGACATCATCTCAGCCTAGGCAGAGTCCCTAGAATGGAACTTGCGTGCAGATTTGTAATGATGAAATGAGAATACTGTTGCTGTATGTTGTGACATGTCAAGAATTTGTTTTATGCAGACATGTAAAGTTACTAACAGGTCCACTTTAACTTCTGATGCTGTCGTCATATGATCAGCACATCAAAAGGTCCGTCAGCTCCATGGCATCAACTGTGATGGCACCAGATGTGTCAGAATCAGCGCCATCTCCTTGCAGATCTACCACAAACCAATACAAAAATTCACTGATCGTTATACACTGAGTGGCCAGATTATTATGACCACCCCATCAGTACTTAGTTGGGCCGCCTCGTGACTCCACGAGATGGTGAAAGGTGATACAAGGAATCTGACAGGGCACTGTTGCCCTTCTGTTGTCTTGTACCAGTCTTGCCACTCTCCGTTCTGCCCTAACATTGACTAGTCGCTGACGGCCACAATTCGCACGTTCAGACCCAGATTTTCGGCTGACAGTCCAGTCTTTAAACACTTTAACAACAGCTGCTGTTGAACATTTAACGAATTCTGCTGTTTTGCTGATACTCGCTCCATGGCTCCGAGCGCCAACAATCATCCCGCGTTCAAAGGCTGTTAAATCGCGTTGTTTACCCGTATCTTCAGAAACAAATCACTTCTACTGTCGTGGTAACCAACCTGCTTCCCTATTTATAATGGTCTGGCCAACCCAACCTGCTTCCCTATTTATAATGGTCTGGCCCTCTAGCAACTTCAGCGCCAAATTATAGCTAATTTCCCTACAAACGTCAGGTGGTCATAATAATCTGGCCACTCAGTGTATAAAGAATTCTTGCTTCAGAACAATCATGTACAAGGTAAAGCAAACCGATCACTCCTAAAGATTGTAAACCATGAAAAAAAAATGACTTCCACTTTGTCTTGTTTAAACCAATCTTCTTCTTACCAGATTTTAAGCCAGAAATTTTGAAGATGGCGCTGGGCTTTTCATTGGTAATAAAGCCAAGCAGCTGCCACACAGGCATGCCGCTGTGATCGGGGTAAGAGATGTAGACGGAGCCGCCCATCCTCTCCGGGAACGGGATGGTCCCCAGCATGAACACCACCACGTGGTTGATGCTTTCATAGTCAGGCAAGTTAAAGACAAACTTATCCTCTGCTATTTGCTGGGCATCTGTCTGCACCTGAGGACAGAAAAGGGAAAAAAAAAACTTGAAGAGAACCTGTCACCTGCATCACTAGAGGTGGCCATGGGGTGAAGTTCCCCCTGTATTGCTCCTCCTGTGGCGAACCAGACTCACTGTGATTACAGTTTCTATGTCTAAAAGAAACATTATAAGAAGATAAAAGGATACATATAGTGAGAGAGGACTATAGGCAGTAGGTTCCTATAGTTAAACTCACCATATCATTGGCTGTTATGGTCACCAATGACTCAGGCAGACGCACCGTATTATTGGTTGTTATAGTGCATCATAACAACTAGGGACATGGAGGTCCCCATCACCGAGGTGACATGTCACTGACGAGGACCTGTGTGTATCGGAAATCTTGGACGGTATGGACAACGACTTTCAACTAAATGATACAAACCGACGGTGCAGAGTTCTGGCTTCTCCTGTATCTTCTTCCGATGGCTCCTCCGTTGGTTGTGCAACAAAATTCAAAATGGCTTACAAGATGGTGGTTTGAGATCACTGTACATGTGTGTTAGAGAGCATCTCTTTATTTCCAATGGGCTCCCCAACACATAATGCAGCTAATAATAGACTTGACCATTTAGTGCCCCACAATGCCTAGAAGTCAATGCACGTGCCAAGTGGTGTGCTGACTTGATAGTCTGGTACTGGACCGGGAGTTCCATGCTCTTGGAGGTATAGGAACCAGATGATGGAGGTAACGTATGCACTATTAAAGCTGAATTCCAGGATCCCTCTCCCCACCCCCTAGTGTTTCTTTTTTTTCATTCCTGTACATACTTCAAGTCTTCATGGCGGACCAGTGACATCACCGCAGCTTCTTTCCGGTGGGGAGGGGGTGGGTCAGTGTTCTTCCAGGACCAAGCGGCGCTCATGTAATGACGTGTGAGCGTTGCTCAGTCTTGGAGTACTGAGTCCAGTCAGTGTAATTGTCTGCTCTCAGTGGGTGGGTGGAGCTGGGCTCACAGGAAATGGGCAAAATGAGGGAAAAGAAAGGCCTGCACTTGAACGAGAAGAAGTCAGGGACTGTGATGGCACGTGGAGAGGGTAAGTGATGGTTGGCACTATTAGGGGGCGACTAAATAATAAACAATATGTAATACCTGGCCTTACACTTTAAACCTGAAATCAAAGTGAAGATGTGGACCTGATGTGTCACGTGCAATGCTGCTAACATTTTAGCAACCAGTGATGCTGTGTGGCCCAGAGTCCTAGCAACCAATGGCAGCCCCACAGCATCATAGGTTGCTATGGTACATGCACTTGCGTCCTAGCAACCAATGACACTGTGTGGCCCAGCTGCTAGCATCCTAGCAACCAGGAACACTGTGTGGCCCAGCTGCTAGCATCCTAGCAACCAGGGACACTGTGTGGCCCAGCTGCTAACATCCTAGCAACCAATGGTACTGTGTGAGTCGCTTGGTATCATTGCTGCTAAGACAATGGCTCCCTCACAGCATCATAGGTTGTTATGGTACATGTGCCCGTGTCCTAGCAACCAATGACACTGTGTGGGCCAGCTGCTAGCGTCCTACCAACCAATGGCACTATGTGAGTCGCTTAGCATAGCACATGTACCTGCATCCTAGCAACCGATGACACTGTGCGAGCATCATTGGTTGTTAGGAATCAGGCAGCCCTGGGATCGGTTCCCATGGATCTTCACTAAGCCCAGATTTCTGGCTGGGTTTGGCAAACATCCAAAAAAAGAACTATCGTGAGGACCGCTTCCATTCACGAACCGCACTCACCAAATTCTGCGATTCACTAAATTTGCAGCTCAGCTCACCTGCAGCTGGAAACCACAGAAATGGTCATTGTATTAGGACAGCGGTCTGCCAGTATGTTCAGGACATGTCATCTTCCCCTCCCCCCAAGGAGGACACATTGTACACACTGCTGTCACCTGTCACTCACCAGCCTACCGGCCACCAGGCACCCGAACATGTCTGCTCCCCAGCCCCGTGTGCCTCTTCCCGTTGCCGTGCCAGCTCCGGACCGCTCTAGCCGCACTCACTCCCCGATCCCGTCCAGAAACTTCCAGAATCCCTTTGGTTAGGCGACCAAAAACAAAAGCGTAGCGTGCCCCGCCCCCTTCCCTGACTCCGGCGCCGCCATGATACAAGCTGGCAGAGAGCTCCGTCCAATAAGCGAGCGATCTCTTTCCTGTCACCTCCCTCTTTCAGCGCTGGTCCCAGGGAGGGCGGACTCACGTGACCCGCACCGATCCGGCCATCTTGGAGAAGGGCAAAGCCACCCGTCAAACATGAATGAACAAGCCTAGTCGTGCAAGGGCACGAGGGAAGGGGCAGCTAAAGAGAACCTGTCATCAGGGAGGTTTACAAGAGATTTGATTTTGTATTTTTAATAACAAATAATACTGAAATCCAGGATGTAAAAGCTTAAAGGACAACTCTACTATTGATATAAAGTTGTCCTTGAAAGCTAAATTGGGGGAGGGGGGTAAATACCATCGCACTGCGATGGTTAACACTTGTCGTACCCAATACCTTATTCCTGGATTCTGCAGGCTCCCTTTTCTCTAAGGCGCTCTGGGCCGGCAGTAGCACTCTGACGCCAATAGTCCTGAATTGTGCGCAGGGATGGCGAGGGCCCGCCCACAACGTGGAGCATTGGAGAGAAGAGGAAATCATCAGGAGCTGCCGGAGCGAGGAATAAAATAAGTATTATGTCTTATTCCTAAACTTGGCGAGCAATTAACCCTCGCAGTGCAGGGAAGTTTTCTGTTAAATCCCTGGAGTTCAAGACATGCCCCACTCACCATTGTGCAGCACACCTGGTCTAATACCTCTGCTCGGGGGCCCATTCGGCCCACCTGGTCTGATACCTCTGCTTGGGGCCCACTCAGCCCACCTGGTCTAATACCTCTGCTCGGGGGCCCACTCAGCCCACCTGGTCTGATACCTCTGCTCGGGGGCCCATTCAGCACACCTGGTCTGATACCTCTGCTCGGGGGCCCACTCAGCCCCCCTTGTCTGATACCTCTGCTCGGGGGCCCACTCAGCCCCCCTTGTCTGATACCTCTGCTGGGGGGCCCACTCAGCCCACCTAGTCTGATACCTCTGGCCAGGGGTCCATTAATTCCTATCAGGAGAACCATGCTCCTCGGGGCCACTGGATGAGTACAGCTCCCGTAGGAACATGTTGGGCCATAACTCGCACATGCAGAAGGAAGGGGACCCATCAGAGATGCTTTTGGATGAAAGGCTGTAGGGCCACGGAGTGACCAGGTGGGCTACACTCAGGGGGCCTTAAAGGCAAAAATGCGCCCACGTTAATAAAATAAAACATTTGCATTTACTACATTTTTGCATTGAAGCCTGCAGAGCATTGCACCTGTGATCAGTGCATCACAGAGACCCTCAATGGGCAAGGTCTCTTGAAGAGCTCCGGGCAGAAATGTTATCATAAAATTTTAAATACCCCGGGACTGCAAGGTGGCAGAGAGATGTCCCTTAGACCAAAATGAGCAGTTACAGGGGTAGACCCTCTGCAAGGGTTCATAAAATGTTCTGCCCGGAGTTATCCTTTAAAGCCTACCTAAAGGCTCCATTACTCACCTCTAGTCATGTGACGTCCATGAGCTCTCTCGCTGGCATCTCCCCCGGTTATATCCATCTTGATCCGGGTCAGCGATGGGGAACATACCCGGACCAGGGAGAGCCAGGCAACGAGTATTTTGGAAAGAGGAGGACAAGATAAGCCGCCATACTTCCTGCGGACGCTTAAAGTGGAACTGAAGCCAAAAGTTCCTAAGGGAGGGTTATAACTCTGTTGGCTTTTTTTTTCCCCCATTGGGGAGATTTCCCTTCACTTCCTGACTGATAGCTGCAACAGGAAGTGAAAGGAACTGTCTGGTGGCAGGCACGGGGCACCAGAACTTGTGTCCCTATTGGAAGATTTCCCATCTGTTCCGGTGACAAAATGTGAGATTTTCTTGCAGTGTTGTATAGCAAAAAGGGACACAATGAAAACTTGTAGAATATTTGCTGTATGTTTCTTAGGAACACCAATAGGATAACAGCATCTGTTGCCTAATAGAGTGTAAGCTCCTCAGCCCCTATCTAGTTGCCATAATGTATTATTACAACACATTACATTCGAACTGGGAAAACCCATCTAGTTGCCATAATGTAATATTACAACACACTGCATTTAAATTGGGAGACTCCATCTAGTGGCCATAATGTATTATTACAACTACACACAGCATTCGAACTGGGAGACGCCATCTAGTGGCCATAATGTATTACAACACACTACATTCGAACTGGGAGACGCCATCTAGTGGCCATAATGTATTACAACACACTACATTCGAACTGGGAGACGCCATCTAGTGGCCATAATGTATTACAACACACTACATTCGAACTGGGAGACTCCATCTAGTGGCTTTGTATTATTACAACTACACGCTACATTGTAACTGGTACACCCCATCTAGTGGCCATATTGTATTATTACAATGGTACATCTGAACTGTAGAAAATAAAAATACTAAAATTAGTTTTTGCCATTATTCACTCAAAATAAAAGTTCCGATGTTTGCAGGGCGAAGGGACTGGGAATTGTTAATAAATAGACCCCATAGTGTAATTTTTTTTCCCCTGTGCTAAGTATCTGGCAGCATCAAGGCACATAGAACACATTTCCCAGTCAGGCTTTGCAATAAAATAAAAAAAAAGATGTGTAACCATCAATTTCTATTTACATTTTAGAGACAATTCCTGCATATGGGTCTATTAGGCCATGCGCATGTAAACATTTGTGCCAAAGATTGCGTGCATGCTGGGTACAGTGCAAATGTACTCTATTGGCCAACACATACATTTTAACAATGTTTAACCAGCTTAATTACACATTATGGAGTTGAAATGTTGGCCCTGAATGCTGCCTGGATCCTAGCAATCAATGACACTTGGCGGCAGGGGCCGCACCTAGGTCCTAGCAACCAAGGAAGCTAGATGACAGGGGGCGCCTGGGTCCTAGCAACCAAAGACACTGGGTGGCCGGGGCAGCACCTAGGTCCTAGCAACCAAGGAAGCTAGATGACAGGGGGCGCCTGAGTCCTAGCAACCAAAGACACTAGGTGGCAGGGGCAGTCCACATCCTAGCATCCAAGTATGCTAGGCAGCAGGGGATGCCCAGGTCCTAGCAACCAAGAATGCTATGCAGCAGGAGTCGCCGGCATATTAGTAACCAGCGAAGCTAGGTGGCAAGAGCCAAATGCGCCCAACAAAGCAAAGTAGGCAGCCGCCTTCTTTCTAGCAGCGAAGGATGATAGGTGGGAGGGGCCAAATCTCATGCTAGCAACCAATACCGCACATTTGCACTATACACTGTATGCATGTAAAAGTAAGCACAATTGTATCGGCGTAGATTGAGGATGCCAGCAAGATCCTACTTCTGATACACCGGTGTGCTGCACAAAGGCAGCGCGCTCTCACCTATTTATCGTTTCTATATATACAGTATTGTGCAAACGTTTTCTGCAGGTGTGAAAAAAAAAATCTCCAACCCCATTGGCAGAAATGCAGCCCCAGACTTGCAAGGAACCTCCACCATGCTTCACTGTGGCCTGCAGACACTCATTATTGTACCGCTCTCCAGCCCTCCGGTAAACAAACTGCCTCCTGCTACAGCCAAATATTTCCCATTTAGACTCATCAGTCCAGAGCACCTGCTGCCATTTTTCTGCACCCCAGTTCCTATGTTTTTGTGCATAGTTGAGTCGTTTAGCCTTGTTTCCAGGTCGGAGGTACGGCTTTTAGCCGCAAGGACGCAGAAAAATGGCAGCAGGTGCTCTGTACTGAAGAGTCAAAATGGGAAATATTTGGCTGTAGCAGGAGGCCGTTTGTTCAGTGAAGGGCTGGAGAGCAGTACAATAATGAGTTTCTGTAGCAACAGTGAAGCATGGCGGAGGTCCCTCGCAAGTCTGGAGCTACATTTCTGCCGATGGAGTTGGAGATTTAGTCAGGACCAATGGTGTCCTTAATGCTGAGAAATACAAGCAGATACTTCTCCATCATGCCATACCATCAGGGAGGCGTGTGATTGGCCCCAAATGTATTCTGCAGCAGGGCAACGACCCCAAACGTACAGCCAATGTCATTGTGAACTAGCTACAGAGTAAAGAACAAGGAGTCCTGGAAGTGATAGTTTGGCCCCCACAGAGCCCGGATCTCAGCATCATGGAATCTGTCTGGGATGACATGATGAGACAGAAGGATTTGAGGCAGACGGCGGCCACAGAAGATCTGTGCTTAGTTCTCCGAGATGTTTGGAACAACCTACCTGCCGAGTTCCTTCAAAAACTGTGTGCAAGTGTACCGAGAAGGCGGCAAATGGTGCTCACACCAATCATTGATTTGGACTTCTCTTTTGTTCATTTACTTTCCATTTCGTTAATTTATAAAAAGAAACTATTAACGGTGTCTGCCATACTTACCGGGGGGGGCTTGCTGGAGAGGTTCTAGCTCTCCGCCGGGTTTTCGGCATGTGTTTTGGGACTGCCCTGACATAAGGAACTATTGGATTGAGATAACAGGATTCATAACGCAATTCCTTATGCTTGAAATCGAGCAAGGGATGGAGCTTTGCTTGTTGGGACTCACTGAGCGGGCTACCTCCACAGGTGCCACCAGTACCCTGTTCTATGCTAGAAAATTAATTGTACTAAATTGGAAGCAGGCCCCGCCTACCTTAGAGCATTGGAGACGTCTGGTGGAGGCTTTCATTCGAATGTATAAAGCAGCATATATTCATAGAGCATGTCCTACAACATTTTATAAAATTTGGGGGAGCTGGTTGGATGCTTTTTCTCCTGAACTGGGTTAGGGGCATAAACTAATTGTAAGTTCTGTACATTGTTTGAGGAGGGGAGGTGCGAGTTGAGGTGGCTTGCACTCACTGGTCCCTGGTGGACTTGTGGGTGTCTGATTGAGGACACCCACAATGTGCCTGGGCTATTGACAATTTATTAATGGCATCATGATATAGGTTCTCTTAGAAGAGGTTCTTCGTGCCAAGATTACTGCGGAGTTGCACAGCTCTGGTTGTAGGAGGGGTGCGGTGGGGGTGTTTTCTATTGTTATTGTCTATTGGTAATTGCAATGTAAGTACCCCTGAGTGGTGTAACGCAGGTGATATATACAGTACAACCGATAACTGTTTAACTTTGCAAAAATCTAAAACAATTTAAAAAAAATTAAACTATTAACACTTTAATTTCTGAAATCATTCTTACTTTACAGCATTTAACCACTTGAAGACCGCAGTGTTACACCCCCTTCCTGGCCAGGCCATTTTTCAGTATTTAGCGCTGCGGTACTTTGACTGACATTTATTCCGTCATGCAACGCTGTACTGAAATTAATTTTATACCATTTTTTGGGGACAGATAGAGCTTTCTTTTGGTGGTATTTAATCACCACTGGGGGTTTTATTTTTTACTATATAACAAACAAAAAACAGTTTCCCTATGAAATTTTATGAAACATTTATTATCACCCAAATTTTGCGTGCGCCCGCAAAATCGCAGAAAACCACTCCCAAAATTGGCCATAGGCGAAGCTTTAAAAACTTTTACTGCTCATCAGTTTAGTGTTGTCAGGATTGAATGGCCCTAAAATGATTGCTCTCCGTCCGACATTCGCAGTGATATGTAACATGTGCGGCACAATTGGCGGAATCGTCATTATCACACGTAGGCGCACCCAACACATGTTTCCGTGTGTATGTGGGGGGCGGGGGACTTTAAAAATGTTTTTATTTTAAACAAATGTTTGTGACTTCTTTTAAGCTTCATCTTTTTTAAACTTATGTTAGTGTAAGGACTTGCCTTAAATGATGCCTCTTAATCCGATCATCTTCTTTCCTGTCCTTTTCAGCCTTCTCTCCAGCGCTGGTGCCGGTCTCCGATCCAGCGCTGACTCCTCTGTCCTCTTCTCTCATGTCTGTGCCGGAGCACGCTGCTCCATAGACTTACCTTGTGTCTCTCATAGTCTCCCGGCCGAACATCTGAACTCCGCATGCGCCTGCCCCAAGATCCTTTGCGGCTGCCTAACTCTTCAGATGTTCGGACGGGAACGTGCGGCAAAGACACAGGTAAGTTTAAACCTTTTTCAAAAGGTTTTTTTTGGTTGTAAAGTTTTTGCATACATCTACTGGCTTGCTAGCCGTTGATATATGCAAAAACACGTGAGGGTTGAATAACCCTTTAACTTTATTGCTATCACATAGGGGGCTAAGAAACCCCCTATGTGATAGCCAATTCACATAACAGGTCCTCTTTATGGAGACTTCAGGGGTCCCCAAGACCCATAAAGTCATCTAGGGACTCCCAGAGAAGCTAATGAAGCAGAGATCTGCTTCAGCAGCTTCTCACCGGCATGTGTTTCCCGCAGAGTGACACTGAATGCGGAAGTGATGTAATATACATCACTTCCTGAGTTCGGGGATGGAGAGGAGATCAAAGAGAGATTGTGTACTGAACTCCCTTTGATCTCCTGTGACAGAGTCGCTGTGCTGGTCCCAGCGGATCTCGGGACCAGCAGCGGTGGCAACGTAGACGGCGGGGGGCACACACCCGCACCTACAAGCGATCGGGCGTCTCCATCGCTGGCTGTTTACAATTCTGACAGTTTCCCCACTTGTGTGCGCGCTGGGCGCCGCACACGAGCGGGGGGAGGGGAAAGACCCTCCCGCTCCTATAAGGCTCCCGTCTAGCCGTTCAGGAACAGCCATGGACAGGAGGTAGTTAAATCACGCCTGCCTTAAACTTTTGCACAGCCCTGTATAGGTCTACCTTGTTCTACTACCAGTGTATTTCCTCAACCCTGTTTGCATCACCAGCACATGTACAGGAGATGACAGCTCTTTAAAAATGAATAATTAACAAAACAAAACAATCAGAATGTGGTTTCGTTGTTAAGTTCATTTTATTGGTTCACAAAGACACTTTGTGAAATATTCAGTTCAGCCTTTCGCCAGCAGTTGGTGTTTAAGTCACCGATTCATATCATATACCTGCCACAATACGATATCTTAAATTAACTTCTTTTAAAAACGCCCACAAACAAGATATTTACATACATAGAACATACTCGTTCTGGCTTCCAACATGCCCATATTACACAATCATACAAACGGCATATACATTAGACAGTAAATACATCGAAGTCCATGAAAACAGACGTTACAGAAAGCTGTACAAAAATAAATTTTTATTAAAAGCAGCTGAAATTGTAGCGAGGGAACAGTACAGAGAAGGAACCAGATCACTAAACTTGGCTACGGCCGACAGGCCTACTACATAACGCGAGTCGCAGAATGCGAATAGTACATTACACCGAACATGGAGTTCTCTTCACAAGAAGAGGATTCACCGCAGCCTATCCCAGCGCCAAATGGTGGCATCGTCACAGACCGCTATGAGAGTACTGCTATCCCGGCTGAAGCTGGTTTGTCGGATTGCAGAAATGCATTTGGGATGTGTGAGGGTTGTACACCTGCGGGGGGAAAAAAAACAACGAAAAAAGATGTAAAGAGGGAAAACTTTGGGAAAAGGGGATCACAGAGACAGAACGGTATGAATCAAAGTGACTTGTATATCGAGGAGTTAGAAATTATTTTCTTACATTGTTTGCTCTCTCAAAGACTGCAGTGTGGAAAGGCGATAAACAGATTTGAAGGCAGATTTGAGGCTCACCCCACACTACATTACAATCTGATTGTGCAATCTCCTTTAGATCCATCAACAACTATGTAATGCAAGTACATCTCAAACAGCCACACTTGCCTTTTGGATGGGGTGCGCGCACACACACACACCTGTAGGGCTGCAACTAGGCATGCACCAATATACTGTGTTTTTCTCTATCGAGTACCGATATATTTTTTTTCGCCGGTACTCACCAATACTGGAAGTCCTATTAAGGAAGCCGGGCGGCTTCCCTAGGTGCAACTAAAGATGGCGGGGGGGTGTTAGGGGGAGCTCTCCTCACCCCTGGCCACTGGCTGTAGGGGTTTGTATCCCTTCAGATCCCCACTGGGAGCTGTGGGGATCGGAAGGGACACAAAGCCAATGAAACACTGCTTCACAGCTCATAGGAGAGAAGCAGAGGATCCAGACCAACTAATCGATAACGACAACGATTCTCATCATCAATGTAATCAATTCGTTGTTTCAGCCCTAATCCAAAGGATATAAAGTTAATTTCCATATACCTGAAGATCCTGTTTGTTCGTACTCTTAAAACAGCAGAGCGCACAGAAGTCATTAAAGGAGAATTTTGGGGAGAGTGAAATATGCTGATCCACATAATTCAAGCCGACCTGTGACACTGAAGCGGTCACATGTCGGCTCTAATGATCGGGAAGTCAGTGAACACATACCGATCCTCTTCCTGCAGAAAGCAGTGACAGTCAGTCACAGCTCCCCTCAGCCATTCCACTCTCCATTCCTCCAGTGCAGACTAGAGGAATAGACAGGAAGGGGGCATGAACAACTGGCTCTAGAGAGGCAGAGTCAGCTGTCAACCAGCCAGTGGGGCAGACCGCAAAAATATTGTCCAGATCCGTCCTGGCTGCGCTGTCAGCATATAGCATACAATAGCAGCATTTGGAGTTTTGGGTCACAGGAGGACATTGGTATACGTCCTACCTGTGACCCTGAAGAGAACTACAGCCAAAAAAGCTTAGGCCATAGTTCTCTCAAGTATGGCAATTTATAATGGTTCCATAAAGGGGAGCAGTCTACTATGTTTCTTAACATAAAGCTTCTATTTAACTTTATCTAAAACCTTTCCGACTATGAAGTGTTCTGGTATCTCATATACTTAGCCAGGTTCAGCTCAGACGACTGTCGTTGACACAGGTCCCACTGACCATTCTCATCAAGGTGTTCTAAGCATGCTAGCTCTGTAGGCCTCTGCGCTGCATCTACTTTCACCTTAGTTCTTTCTTTTAGATTGTAATGTCTTAATGTGTAATTGTTGCTTGGAGGGTTGACAAGAATGGACATGTTCACTGGCACTATCAATAAACTCTCCTCCTACACCGCTAAGCCTCCTATCACAGTCCGGCAGAGCGGTGTAGGAGGAGAGACGCCAGCCGCTCACAGCGCTCTCCTCCCGCAGCGCTCGGCCGTCAGTTTCTTTCCTCCCCGCTAGGACACAGAGCAGTGCCCAGCGGGGAGGAGAGAAAGAAAGGATGTGCCGATGTATCGGCAGGAAAATTCGGCATTTAGCCAAAAGTTCCATATTCGGCCGATATATTGGTGCATCCCCTAGTATACAGGAGGCTGCTAGTCACTGCATTAGGCTGTCTATTCTACCAGAATGGAGTTAATAAATGGTTTAAAACAAACAAAATAATAAAAAAAAAAAAAAAAAGACCTTTCGCGGTATTTGTCCTTTAAAGTAAATCAGCCCTCAAAGTACTAAGGTATGGATAGTAATAACGTGCAGACACGCTGTGGTGCCTGCAAATACTTGCGATAGCTTTCAATAGAGCCAGGGCCTCAACATCTCAGAACCTGTTATTCCTCCGCGAAGGTTCTCATTTATTCCCAGTCATGACATAGTTAGTAGCAGTTCGTCACATTCAACCGGACTTGTTCTGTAAAAACGAAGATTATCCAAGCCACTTTCATTCTAATGAGTGTCAGCATTTATATCCACAAAGGTAGCAAGGACATCTTAATCCAGTCACCATGGAACGTGTCAAAGCAGATGTTAATAGTTGAATAGGAAGGGAGGTGTAGCAGTTGTGGAATCACCTTGTCCCAGTTACATAATCACATCCTTAGCCAATGGATTAAGGTGTGTACAGTAACTGCGAGCCTATAAATACTGGGGTATGCCCCATCACTCATGAGAACAGAAGCAGCGGGTGGATAAACTACAAAACATCTTTGACAATATAGAACAAGTCCAGTTGAATGTGACACAGCGAATGAAGACTCTAGGAAAATCGGAGAAAGCATTATAAAGCATGCTGGGTAACTGAGATACCTACTTGGCTTTGTGTGGGTCTTCTACTTCCAGATCCCAGACATACAACTTTCCCACCTGGTTTCCAAGTGCAAGCATCTGGATACAGAAAAAGCCATACAAGACAATTAACATTACTGCAAACGTAAGCCTCAGAGTCTTTTCACTACATATTATTCTATTCAGTTAAAATGAATTGGGCAGACAAATTGTAAAGATATGAAATGCAAAGTACCCTTTCCTAGGTCTCTATAGGAAAATGGCAAGCATGTTGCTTGTTTCTAAATCCTTGTATCCGCAAAGTTTACATGTGTTGTGTAAGAACCCGAGGATCTGCTCAAGGTCTGACATACACGGGGCATCCCCAGAAACAACCACATACAATAACTCTAAGGCTTCATTCGCATAGGGAAATAAGAAGCCTGGCTGCAGATTCCTGTGACAAGAATGCAGATTCTTCCAGCTAGAATCACCAATTACTTGCTCTGGATGCATTCAGGGGCAGACATTTGTCCCTAGCCACAGATAACCAATGGATGTGCAGATGCATGCGGATAGCTGCGAACAGCAAACGGCTCGTCATTGGTTTGTACAGGCTTCCCAGAACTACGCGCTATTCCAGCCACAAACCACAGACCTCTTTTCCCCCGAGGGGATGATGGCTTATCTACAAAAGATGGTGGGTGCACCTCGGTATTCAATGCTGCTATAAAACGTTGTTAGAGCTCAGAGTTTATACACATGTGCATCAACTACAATATGACAATATGACTAAAGCTCAAATGAACTTTGTTTGAAGTACTAAAAAAGGTAAAAAAAAAACATCCCACTACCTTTCTATTCATCTTACCCCCAAACACTAACCCTATAGTCCACTTCCACCAGCTCCCAGACTATCTCTGAAGTGTCCCTAAAGATTGGGAGGAGGGATCCTGTGGCCCCTGAAGGTAACGCAGCAATAGGCGGCTGCACATGTCTATCAAGATACTGAGAGAAGGGAGGCGGCGGGGAAGGGAGTGTGGCTTGTTGAGTGCAGTGTGTGTCAATGGACGAACACAGCATGGCTCAATGCCCAGCCCGGAGCATGCACATCCAGGTGTCTCCTTTGCAACCTGCTAAGCAAAGGAGACACCTGTAAACAGGAGGGGGCCCCTCCAAATATCCCTTTTCTTCCAGTTGGGCATAATCCCCAATGTGTCTTCAGGGACAGGGTTCCGCCAGACAGGCACACCAATGGCCCTTGAACTGTAAAGCCTTCTGCAGCCAACTCAAACGTTACATGCAAATGTTTGAGAAGGCCTAAGCAGAGCGCCTGCGGGACACATTACAGGCCAGCCGCACTGCTTCTCGGCAGTGAGGTGCCGGTAGGGACTTGGAGGCTATGTCTAGGACAAGTCAATCCAGAAAGCAGCAAAATGAGTCCTGGCTCTGCAACCAAGTAGAAGATTGATGGAAGAACATCGTGGAAAAATTAAAAGAGAGATTGCTTTGCTTTTTGTCAGAGTAGAGAAAAGATGTCAGTTCCCAAAGTACAGTAACAAAAACTGGAGCATGCTGGGAGTAGGACGGGTTGCACTAGACTCTCTTGCAGCTTTGCTTGCCAGCCTCCAATCTCCTGAAAGCAGCAGCAGAATTCAGGGTCTCAGATTTACTTCATCGTGGTCCCTTAATGATTAGAAAAGGAAGGTATCAACCTGTTTATATGCGTGGGGGATAAAAAGGATCACTTCAAAAAGGAGAAGTGGCAGAAAGCGCACAGCCTCCATAATTCTGTGACCCAGTCTCTGTAAAAACCATAAGGGGGCTCTCAACAGGTGATCCTTTTTAATTTGAAGTCCTGGATGCATTTTCTATTTGTCCATCTTTTATATGCAGGGATTTAGGTCACGGAGTCCTGTTCTGTCATTTTTATCACGTGGTAAGCAGTACAATGAACAGCCAGTCAAATCATTTGGGCAACCTCAAATGCACTGTAAAAACCCAACTAGCTCTCTAAAAACCCAGCTCGCTCCCATGATGGACTACAATCTCACATTTAGTTACCTAATTTGTACTAAGTTTGTAGTCCATCACAGGAGCGAGCTTGGAGCGGTGACTACTTTACAACACACACAGGGACCATGGGGAACACAAGCAGCCCCCCTCCAGAAGGAAGGACAGTGTCAGCACCAATTCAGAGATGATTTGAGGATCTACAGCCGAGTGATACACAAATAAGATACATTTTTGTTAATAGGTAAGGGACTTGAATGCATTTTTAAGATGCAACTCCTAAGCTTACGGTCACTATGTGTCACACATCACTATCCTGTGCTGTAAATTATGTATAGTTTATCTCACCTTTTGCCAGAAGTCCATAGAAAATCTCATATACCAGATATCACACTGGCTGTACTCAAACCTCCCTAGGATCGTGACATTGGACTCATTGGGCTTGATCTTATCAATGTCGTCTTCCATTTTTCCTGGTTTCCAGCAAACAATGGCATTTTCACATGACTGATTTAAAATAAAAAAGGGGGGGTGGTTATGATAATGAGTTTGTATCAGTCTTGTCAGTTTTCAGCTATCTTCACAGATAAAATAGAACACAAACATTTACCATCAAAAATGTGACTGACACACACACACACACACACACACAAAAAGACACACACACAAACAACCATGGCTACCCTATCTATACATATGTAAATGTAACCGTTATGTACTATTAGATTTGTTAACGCAGAGCCTGGATGAGGAGGGGGGAAGTTATTGTTTTGTACTGTAAACATGTGATTACATCATATTACTATCCAGAACCAGGGGTAGGCAGCCTTGGTCACCTGTGCTGAAACTACAAATGCCACCAGCCTCTGGGAGTCATGCCGGTGGCTGTTAGTCTTGCTAAGCCTCATGCAGACAGCTGGAGTGGCGGGGTTGCCTAATCCTGAGCTAGAGCATCTGCAGTAAACCCAGCTGCTGGGATGCAGATTTTGATGTAACAGGACAAGTCAGCACGTGCACTCATCACACTGTCCCGTGCCCGGAACGCAAGGGTTCACATACACAGTGTACTTGCGTTCTGGGGCGGGAGGGGTGTGGCAGTGCCATTCATGTCAAAGGCACTGGAGACACACACCCTATTTGCAGTGCGATCGGCTGCACAGGACCGCATGGTAAAACAATGCAATGCATTCCAGTGCGCCACGATTGCAAAAAATCCTGCATGCACTATTGTTTGCGATCGTGCCGCACTGGAATGCAGGGAGACTGTATGCGATCCCTTGCGTTCCTGGCACGGGCTGGTGAAAACAAGCCCTTAAGATGATGATGATTTTATGGTATTTTACCAGTTTATTTATAAGGGGAGTTATTTTTTTATATACATGAGCTGGCAGTTTTATTTCTGGTGCCCTGACTTCTGCCCTAATGAGAACTGTCTAAATGCAAAGTGACTCACATTGGGTGGGCCATGATGTCTAAAGTGGGCTCGAATGTCCTCTCTGATTTGTGATTTCTCCATTTAGATACTTTGTTTTAACTCCTATTCTCAAAACGAATGTTCTTCCTTAACAATGATGCTTAGGACCTTTAAATACAGCATTCCACAAAAACACATTTAGGAAGAGTCATACCCAGAAAAGAGAGGACGGATTCTGGAATTAAGTCCTGATAGAAAAAGCTTTGATCACAAGCCATGATAGGCTCAAAAAGCCCTGTGTGTGTGTGGCTGTGTTGCGCATATATCTATGTATGCATGCATATATGCGTGTGTGTGTGTGTGTGTGTGTGTGTAGGTGTATATATGTGTGTGTGTGGGGGTGTATATGTATGCATGCATATATGTGTGTGTGTGTGTGTAGGTGTATATGTATGCATATATGTATGTGTGTAGGTGTATATGTATGCATATATGTGTGTGTGTGTGTGTGTGTGTAGGTGTATATGTATGCATGCATATATATGTGTGTGTGTGTGTGTGTGTAGGTGTATATGTATGCATATATGCATGCATATGTGTGTGTGTGTGTGTAGGTGTATATGTATGCATGCATATATGTGTGTGTGTGTGTGTGTGTAGGTGTATATATATATGCATGCATATGTGTGTGTATATTTATTACAGTATGTATATAGATATGATTTTGATAATTGATTTTTCAGGCACACACAGGAAATTTGCAAAGGAGACATGTGGTCTGCTCGGCTGTTGACAGAGATGGTTTCTCACAATGGGAGGGTGCCTTCTAAAAAGGCCAAAGTGTTTTTTTGGTAATGGTATGGCTGCCCAATGGGATGGTGTTATGGGGAAACCTTACATAAAACGAGCACGCCTAGCCTGGGCAAGGCTTAGACTCTTTGGCACCATTGATTGCTGATGGCAATTCTTTATACAACGCTGCCACCTAGAGCTGTAAAAAGTGAACTACATGTTCCATAGGGTCTCATACAAGTCTTGAAGGGCACCGCCCAAAGGTGGCCTGCCAATTTGTATTAATAAAAGCCAGCAGCTGGAAAGTGAATGTGGGACTTCAACAGGGGGACTTCAACAAAGAAGGACGTCAACAAAGGAGGACTTCACACATCACTCTGACCAAGAGAGGACTCACCATAGAACTCTGAAATAAAGGAAAGAAAAAGAGAGAAAGAGAGAGAGAGACTGCAAACAGAAGCCATTTTTCCTGTGAACACTTCATTGCCAAGAAGTCCTGTCCTTTACAGAATTTACAGAACTTGCAGCTGGAAGCTAAGCTTTTTGGCATTTCCTCTCTTAGAAACTATTCCATGTACTAGAAAGAATAGTGTAGCGGGTGCATGTGTACGTATGTTTGTAGCAGCCTGTATGCATGTTTTGCTTTTCCTGTAACTAAGTTTGTGCACACAGCATTTTTGTAATGTACTTTAAATGCTACTGTGACAGTTTCCCTGAGCTTTACTCCAGAACTAAACACATAGAAATAAAGTTTTGCCAAGCTTTACATTTGTGCTCATTCTTGGGATAAGCTCTACATTAAAGGGCTAATCTTTGGGATCTGTCGTTCCAAAGCAAAACAGTGGCCTGGCGCCTTCTGGTGCTCACAGCCCCCATTAAACGCAGATGTATGCAACAAACGAAAGAAAAAGTAAGGGCAGACTGTCCATTATTCCCCATGGGTCATACATTGTTACCAGCCCAACACAAGCTTTTATTCTAATCAAAGCAACGGAGGGCCAGCCGATGGGCAGCGGATAAACTGTATTCTGCAAACCACACGCAGCATTGTTCTAATTTAGTGCCAGAGAGTCCTCTGCAATAATATGTAAATAAGGTTTACCTTCGACAGTATTAAGTCTCCAAGCCACCTGACACAATCCACGTAATTTCTGTGAATATCTCTTGTGGAGAAGTCAGGGAAATGGATCTTTTGTGAAATAAACGGCCTGTGAAAACATAAGACATGGGTGATATTTTCCAACATTTATCAGAATCACATGAGGCGTGCCCACAGTGTTAAAGAACTGCAGCATTTTTTACCAAACTGTAAACCGCACTGTTATGAAATGAATTTAAAGGCGAAGTTCACCTTTTGCAAAAGGCCCAATCTTCTGCACACTCCCTGCCAGGCAGAGCTCCGTACTGTGGTACAGAGTCTCAGGAGAGATGGGGAAAGATGTCTGGTGTTAAGTTCAGCCGTCCTTCCCCCATCTCTCCTAACTGAAATTCCGCACCTCAGTACGAGGTCTGCCTGGCAGAGAATGTGCTAAAGTCTGAGCTTTGCAGCTGTGATCACATTCACAATCCTTTCCGGGCTTGAGTGCAAATATTAAAAAGAACTATGGGGTAACCTTTTTATTCCATAGTTCTCTTAAGGCTCAGAGGAGGACATATACTAACCTACTCCCGTGACACAAAGCTCAGTATACAATGAGTGGCCAAATTATTATGGCCACCTGACGTTTGTAGGCTAATTAGCTATAATTTGGCACTGAAGTTGCTAGAGGGCCAGACCATTATAAATAGGGAAGCAGGTTGGTTACCACGACAGTAGAAGTGATTTGTTTCTGAAGATACAGGGAAACAACGCGATTTAACAGCCTTTGAACGTGGGATGATTGTTGGCGCTCGGAGCCATGGAGCGAGTATCAGCAAAACAGCAGAATTCGTTAAATGTTCAAGAGCAGCTGTTGTTAAAGTGTTTAAAGACCGGACTGTCAGCCGAAAATCTGGGTCTGAACGTGCGAATTGTGGCCGTCAGCGACTAGTCAATGTTAGGGCAGAACGGAGAGTGGCAAGACTGGTACAAGACAACAGAAGGGCAACAGTGCAGTGTCAGATTCCTCGCATCACCTTTCAACATCTCGTGGAGTCATGAGGCGGCCCAACTAAGTCATCTCATGGCCCAACGAAGTACTGATGGGGTGGTCATAATAATCTGGCCACTCAGTGTATAGTGAGCTATAACTCACTATATACTGAGAGCGCCGCAGCTGGGACGGATCCAGAGAATACTGTTGAGATCCACCCAGCTAGCTGATTGACAGGAGGCTCTGCCTATCTAGAGGCAGAGCCAGCTGTGCCCGCCCCCTCCCGTCTGTCCCTCCAGTCAGCGCTGGAGGATCGGACCGGGGAATCCTTGCGGGGAGCGGTGACAGACAGTCACGGCTCTCTGCAGGGAGATTATTGGAAATTGAGCGAGTGGCGGTATGTGTTCGCTCACTTCCCGATCTATAGAGCCGACCTATGACAGTTTCATTGAGATAACTATGAGGATGAGTGGAAATCAATCACCTTATAGTTCTCCTTTAAGAAATGCATACTTTTATTATATAATTAAAAATGCATTTCTTTAATTTTTGCAAAAGGTGAACTCAGCCTTTAAAATAACTAAGAATCTGATACATACTGCAATTGTATACACACACTTCAAGAAAAGCCAGGTCACCTGTTTGTTTTGTTAGGATTGTATTCATAGGAATCTTTGATAGCAGTCTGCATTCTTTTGGAGTTTAGTCGCCACAGTTTGAGTGAATGGTCCATGCCGCATGACATAATCTTCTCTCCTAGCAGATCATAATCCTATAAACCACACACACAAAGAAACCATTAATGGATGCTTAAAGAATACAACAAGCTGTGTATATAATGAGCATGCCAGGAAATCTCTTCAAGGATCTGGAAAACACAGCGTGCATTTTGGAGAATTATAAAGATTGATGCAGAGTAAACAGACATCAAGCCACGGACATATTGTCACATTTAGGGATGCACCGATACTAGTATCGATATCGGTGCCGATACCGAGAATTTGGGCAAGTATTGGTGCGCGCCCAAATGCTCCAATGCCTAGCACAAGTATTTCCTGTATCAGGAAGCCGGGCAGCGCGTCATTAGACGCTGCCCGGTTTCCTGATTGGCCGGGAAGCGGCTCCATGCTATCTCGTCACTTGTGATGAGAGTGCATGGAGCCGACTTCCCGGCCAATGTGGAAGCTGGGCAGCGTGTAATAACGTGCTGCCTGGCTTCCTGATTGGTCGGGAAGCTGGCCAATCAGGAAGCCAGGTGCCGTGTAATGAAGCGACGCCCAGCTTCCTGATTGGCCGGCCAGACGGCTCCAGCTGGGTACCAGAGGAAGGCCACGTTCTGGCTGGAGAGGCCCCCGGGGGTGACAGGATGGACATACCAAGGTGAGAGGGGACAGACTTTCTTGTTAATCGGAAAGGCCCGGGTGGCGAGTCATTACACGCCACCTGGCTTCCTGAATGGACTTCCGTTACTCGGCAACTGTTATCGGCAAGTAGCAAAATAAAATTATTTTAAATGCAGGTCTCGTTTCTTTCCAGAACCCAGTGTATATTAGTCACAAGACTAAAAGTACAAAATATCAGACTTGCAAAGATTTTACGATCTGACTCTAAAAAGTACTTTAGATTTGCCAATGACTTTGTAGTGAGAGAGTCTACCTGATAGAATAGAAATTAGGATTGTTTCAGTAGACGGTTTAAAAGAACTATGGCCAAATCTTTTTTGGCCGTAGTTCTCTTTAGGGTCACAGGAAGACATTTACTAATCTCCTCCTGTGACACAAAACTTAGCATAAAGCTATTGTTGGGATCCACCCAGCTGCCTGACAGCTAGCTCTGCCTCTCTAGAGCCAGCGGTGCCCACCTCCTCCCTTGTCTGCCCTTTTAATGAGTGCTGGAGGAATGGAGAGGGGAATTCCTTTGGGGAGTGATGACTGACAGTCGCCGCTCTCTTCAGGGATAAGATCGGGAACTGAGCGATCAGAGGTACGTGATCGCTCAATTCTCGATCTATATAGCCGACATCTGACAGCTTCAGTGTACATAACAAAAGGGAAAGCATTTTTTTTAATTTCCCCTACTTTTTTTTTATATAGTAAAAAATAAAAACTGCAGTGGCGAGTAAATACCACCCACCAAAAGAAAGCTCTGTCGCCCAAAAAAATGGTATAAAATTAATTTCAGTACAGCGTTGTATGACGGAATAAATGTCAAAGTACTTCAGCGCTGAATACTGAAAAACGTCCTGGACAGGAAGGGGGGTTTAACACCACAGTCAGCAAGGGGTTAAAAAAAAACAGATTTGGCTGAAGCTGCAAAACCAGATGAGAGAACATGAAACAGTGAATAACTTACTGCACTTAACACTTCATCTCTGTGACCTTCAACACCTCCGAACATTGCAACCAGAGTGTCTGTCTGAATATTCCACAGTCTCAGTGCGTGATCTGCAGGAACAGCAAAGTCAAAGCAAGTCAATACAACAATTCAAAAAAACATGGAGTTCAAACAATTTTCTTTTCTTTCACATATTCTATGAAAACCAAACCGATTCTGCAGACTCGATGCCGCATCCGTGCCCATTACGTGGTGCAGACAATTACCTTTGCTTACAGATAACAGAAGATTTGGGTCTCTTGGGTGAAACTTTAATTCATTGATCGCATTGCCGTGGCCTACATAGTGCTGTAACACAAGAAACGGAAAGCAAAAAAGATTAAAAGAAAATCTAATAAAAATGATCAACTTACGTAATGGTGAAGCTTTGTAAGACTGTTTTTTTTTTAAACCGTTGCAATGGGACTACCCACGAACTGCAAGGGTTAAGTGCTCATTTATGTCTAGGCGGTAAAATACCAAAACTATACTCACCTGAAGTTCTGAGTCGGCATGCTGTCACAGTGCTCCCTCCAGCCTGCCTCCTCACCCTTTGCAGCGTTCCTCATGTCTGTCTATACAGTGCATATAGAGGTTGATGATTTAAGGGACCTTAGACCCCTGCAGAGGAGGGGGAGAGGCAATAGAAGTACCAGTCTAAAGGTGCCCATGCACCTGCCGATTATCGTGCTGTACGGTGATCCCGCGATCACGCGATAATCAGCAGGTGTATGGAAGGCGTGCGAACGTTTCTAATGTAAGGTCACACGTATTTTGTCTACCGAGCAGGCTTGAAAACCAGCCGAGAATCGTACTATTTTCGGCGGGTTAGTGGCGTTCTTGGGAGACAAATGCGGCACGGGCCGGTGTGCGCAAGCGCACACTGCCAATTCAGCATTGGAATCATCGGAAGCCCGCGGGCTTGTGATGATCGCAAGTAGGATCTGCCTGTCCAAGATGTGCAGATCATACGAGCTTTTAATTACCTTACAACCATCGCATGATGAAAGTCGTGCGATGGTTGTAAGGTGTATGGGCACCTTAAGAAAAAGCTGGCTCGAAGCTTCGGGTGAGTAACTTTTTTTTTAACCTAGACACAAGTCAGCACTTAACCCTTGCAGTGAAGGTGTAGTCCCACTGCAAGGGTTGATAAAAATAATTTCCTGGAGTAGTTCTTTAACCATGCAGGATTATGTGCAAATGGTGGTGCTCTGCTGTGGTAAATACAGCCAGTTCTATTTTCCTTGCTTCTCCACCAATACTTTGTGTTCTCCAGCTGGATTACTGTGACTGTATACATGACAGGTATTTTTAGAGCTCTAACGCGGCTGCAAGTGGGTCGTACAGTACATGGCGTATATCTCTTGCCGAGAGTGACAGCTGCACTGTATAGCTGTGTGCAGCCAGCCTGTAGATATCGATGACAACTAGGGCAGCAACAACTAATCGATAAGAATCGATGAAAATAGTTGTCAACTATTTTCATTACCGATTAGTTGGGAGAGGTAGAGGATGGAATTTTTTTTTTAATACAACTAAATTTGAAAAAATATTTGGGCAACTGATTATGAAAATAATGCTTAGCTGCAGCTGTATGGGTATGTATGCAATTCCCACTGTTTACATGCGGACTGGGACTTGTGCACGGCACCAAACTCAGAACCTCTGCATACCTTAGGTAAAACACACAACTGCATTCAATTGCGTTTTTATATCCATTTGTTACATGTATTTATACAGCGCCAATTGATGCAGTGCTTTACAAACTGCACATTCACATCAGTCCCTGCCCTCCAGGAGCTTACAATCTAAGAAACTTTAAATCCAAGGTCCCTATCTCACATGCACACATACAGGGCCGAATTAGACCGGAGCCAATTAACCTTCCAGCATGTTGTTGGAGGAAACTAGAGTACCCAGAGAAAACCAACACAAGCAGAGGGAAAACATGCAAACTCCTTGCAGATAGCGTCCAGACCAGGATTTGAACCGGGGACCCCCAGTGCTACAAGGCAGAAGAGCTTTTAAGTTAAGTTTACCAAAAAAAGTTTAATTTTCCAAAAATTAGAAATATATCTTTGGATTCTGAGGGATGTCAACAGTGAGGAAATACTTCCAGCTAACAGAGGCAGATGGAGAAAATCGCTTTCACACCAACCAAAGCTCCGAGCCAGCCAGCTGTCACAGCGCTCCCTCCAGCCGGTCTCCTCCTCTGCTGCAGGTCTATACTCTGTGCATAGATGTGATGATTTACGGGACCATAGACCTCTGCAGAGGAGGGGGCGACTCTAGAAGGACAGGTCTCGGAAGAAGCCGGCTCGGAGCTTCGGGCGAGTCATTCATATCTCTATATAGATCTATATATCTATATAGAATCTATCTATATATCTATAATCATACACTTAAATACAAACAGGCACTTCACCCTAGCAGTACGGTGGTAGACCCACTGCAAGGCTTAATACAATATATCCTGGAGTTCTTTAAGGTTAAAGATGAACCCCCGGCAGTAAAACCTTGATTTAAATATACTCGATAGCTACAAATTGCAGTGGTACATCGGTTCACAAACTTAATTTGTTCCACGATTCTAGTCGCGAACCGAATTGGTTGCGAACATAATCAAACTGTGATCAGACTGCGACCGTGACTACAGGAAGCCACAAACAGAAAGGACAGCACTGGCTGGTTTTTATTAAAGGTAACATTTCAAATTAACAAGACACCAGGACAGACGCAAGAATACACGCATGCCTCTTGTATTTAGATGATATTTATATATATTTGTTAATATAAAATATATTTGTTGAGCTTGAAATTCACCTTTAAATTTACAGATATGGGAAGTCTTAAACCAGAAATTAGCACCCAAATAAATAATGATGAATAGCATTGTTGCCACTTCTTTATATTTAAACAAATTTGCTTCATAGTCTACCTTATGTTGCTTACCATCTTTCCTAGTTCTTCTCAACCTCTTTGCCTTTCGCAAAGGACCGAAAGCAGAACATGATCACAAAAGTGAAGATGCAGGTTGGGACTGGGAAGACAGATCCATGTAGCACCATGCATCTCTTTTTACAGAGAGCCGAGTGTCCAGTGTACGCAGAGAAGCCCATGACCTCAGAGCTAGACAACTAGAACAGATCACAGCAGCCATCAGATTCCAGGGTCTTGCTGCACCTATACACTAGCTGTGCCACATTTACACGCAGCCATTGGAAGACTACAATTTTGCCATAAAGGGTAAGTCCACTTTCCCAAATGAATTTGGAATTACCCGCTCAAATCTGGCCCCTCTCTTCCCCACCCTGCTATACTAGCCTTTCAGCGAAAGCTCCTTCCCTTCCGCCGGTACAGGAGTTCTATCCGTACCCTGTACCGCAGCCCTGCGCTATAGATTTTGAATTGCACAAAATAGAGGGGAATGGGAGAGGGGGGCCAGATTGGGGGGGGAGTAATTCCATTTTCCCAAATTGACTTGGGAAAGTGGACTTACCCTTTAATCTTTTCATTTATGAAGCTATAGTTCTACTTTGAAAATAGCTTGTCTCTATGCCCCAACTACACCTTCACAGCCACAAACTAGGGAACTGTGGATTCTGGTGGGGAAATCTTAAGACATCCCCAAGACAGAAAGCCAGCACATAATGTGACTTACCAGCAACACACAAATTTCAGTTCAGGGCACAGCGGCTTCTTTAAAAAAGGCATTGCAAATTCACTTCTCATACAGCTCTAGGTTATGACAATAGCACTACAGAATACAAAATCTCAACCCCCCTTAGAAATACGTGTCCTATTATGATCAGTGGATATGAGAAAAGGTTTACATTGAATCCACTTACCTTGATACACTGCATAGTGATGGGATTGATTATACGAATGATGCCCCTGGACCCAGCCACTGCGAGGAGCGGGTGACTGGTGTTGCTGTCATACGTCCATGCACAGGTATAGAAGTTTTCATCTGCCTATTTCTTATACTTAAGGAGAACATACCAAAATGAAATGATTGTGCTAGCTTCAGGAGCATACAAGGTTTTGGGCCATAGAGATTCTCAGATAGATATACCTTGCATTTTCATGTAGGATTTCCCACAACACGCTTCAAACTTGAGTAATGTCACATGCACCCCAACAGCAATATCAACATAACAATTCCCAGACAAATGTTCCAGTTGGAACAGCGAGACATTAAAGGAGAACTATGAGGCGAGTGATTTCACTCATCCTCATAGTTCAAGCCGATGAGTGACAATGAAACAGTCACACGCCGGCTCCATAGATCGGGAAGTGAGCGAACGCATACCGTCCATTGCCTCCCTACAGTGAGCGGTGACTAAGTCACCTCTTCCCGCAGGGATTCCCCCCTCCCCCAGCGCTGAATGGAGGAATGGACGGGGAGGGGGCCAGCTGGCTCTAGATAGGCAGAGCCAGCTGTCACTCACACAGCTAGGTGGATCTTGACAGCATTGTCGGGATCTGTCCCGGCTACGGCGCTCTCAGTATACCGCAAGCTGTAGCTCGCGATATACTGAGCTTTGGGTCACGGGAGGAGGTTACTTTATGTCCTCCCATGACCCTTCAGAGAACTATGGGATAAAAAGGTTACCGCATCGTTCTCTTTTAAGTGTAAGCCGATTTTGGTCCTTTTCTTTTGTGCATGCAGTAAAGAGGGGACAAGGTAATGATTTAGGGTTAGTTAGTATTATTTTCAGGCTGAATTCATACTTTGCATTCACCAATTCCCCCCAAATGCATTTTTATTGAAATTAATGAAAGCAACAAAATGCATATCAACATTGTCATGCGTTTTCTATGCACATTGCAATCAAAGATAAAAAGGATACATCAGCGTCTACATAAGACTGCAGTAATCGGATTTCTCCTTGTGAATGACATTCATATAATGTGACCTGTAACCAGAGGGGGAAAATGTGAGATTAACAATTCAGTATTTGTCTCAGCAGCAACAGGCAGCAACTGAAATGAGTACACAAGCAAAAAGTAATTATCCGGTCCGATATCACCCCAGCACCTTAGCATCACCCAACCACTTTGGCTAGCTCAGGTGGTTGGGTGATACCTTCTCGTATCACCTCTGCATTGACTGACAGATTGCATTGGCCCTCAAATCATTGCAGCACTACTGAACAGTACAAAAAAAAGAAAGGCGGAGCAGAAAGCACCGACGGGAGGGGGCAGAGCTTCAGCATCTGTAAGTATCTTAACAATTTACCAATTCTTTGCTGTACTGAGCAAACACCGAGTGATCAGTACTGATCGCCAAGTGTTTGCAAATAACTGAGAACATAGTGATTACTATGTCACCAGTTATGAATGAACAGGAAGTGCTATACATCACTTCCTGTTCATTTATGAATGCGGCCATTTACTATATGATCACTTCATGAATGTACAGGAAGCAGCTCAGTACAGAGGCTTCCTGTCCATTCATGACTGGGTTGATAGTAAATATTTACAATCTCCAGATGATGGAACAATAGGAAGTCTCTGTACTGGGAGTTTTCTGTTCATTGAGTGCTGGGGCTGCAGAAAAAGACAGAGTACTCAAGATCTTTTTCTGTTTAAAAAAGGGAAATATCGGGAAATATCAGAGGTCTGTTTAGATCCTTAAATTTTCACAACATCCAATAAAAGTAAAGTAAAAAAAAAAAAAAGTAATAAAAATTTAATACATTTTAACCTCTTGCCGTCCGCCCGTAGTAAAAAAACGGACGGACGGCACTGCTGCATCTGCGGGTTGCCGTCTCCAGATAAAAAAAAATTTCTGCTCGCGCGCGCCCCCTAGCGGGCACGCACGGGCAGAAAAGACCCGATCAGTGCACACACCCGTTACCGGGTGTTACACATATAGGCGATCAGCGGGTCCATAGCCAGGGGGAAAAAATTCAAATTCCGGATTCGGTTTCAGCCTGACAAATTTTGAAATTTCAGTTTGGGTTTCAGTCTAAAAATATAATTTCCGTGCATCACCCAACATATAGATCGATAAATAGAAAGGTATCTATGCCTAACCCCAAAAAAATATTTTTTGCGTACTTTTAACTTTTTCAAAAAAATCATAAATTCTAAAAAAAATCAGCGCATATACCAGAACATTGTAGAAAATTGGTCTCATAAACAGCATACATATTACACGACAAATGAAACACATGAGGGTAGTGCAAACACAGAGTGCAATAGTTCTGGTATGACCCATCTTCTCATGTCCGCGGTAATTAACACAAATTCTAACTTTTTCTATTGTAATATAAGATCTGGGATTGTCTCCGGAAAAGACTGACATAGGTTGGAGTTTTTCTTTAGCTTGTCCATGTTTGTAGATTGTAAGCCCTCACGGGCAGGGCCCTCCTTACCACCTTGTCTTGTATTGTGATTGTAATGTCTTCCTTATATTGTAAAGAGCTGCGCAAACTGTTGGCGCTATATAAATCCTGTATAATAATAATAAGCGTCATAGTCAGCCCTTTTGAGAACAGTGATCTCAAATGTAACTTATCAACTCACAATATCCATTCCACTACAGGTAGGTATCGGAGGGTTTTCCAGTATTTGGAAGTCAGGCTCATTCCGGGGCGAAGGTGCTGTTGTATCACCGATTACTTCTATGTATGGGCAGACAGTTTCATTATGAAGTGAAAGAAAACTCCAGCACTGCTGCAGTCTATTTGCATCCAGGGATTGGTAGTCACTTAAAGGTTGGAATACTAAGGGGCAATCAATGAATGTGTCCAAAGTGAATGCAAAGTATTCGGGGAAATAAGAGCTATACTGCTGCAATAACATTTCCACTGTATGACATACCCTGTTACTGCCAACTGTAGCAAACACAAGCGGATCTCCTTCCTTACTGTGCCAGTTGAACTGAACGCCAAAAAGAGGCTGGCTGTGATCCTCCTGTGGTGAAAAGAAAGGTATTAGATGACTCAGAATTTAACAACTTTTTTAGAAAAGAGAAACAAAACAAAACAACACTTTCACATATAATTATAAAGGATCTATGTAAAGGAAACCTGTACAAAATGAAGAATAAAGTCTAGCACTGCTGAGCTTTCCACCAGAATACACAATTTCCCTGGATTCAACACTAATCAAATTGCTTCTAATCAAAAACCACAGGTGGCAGAAACTTGGGTAAAACACTTTGGAAAGTGGCAAATCATCATCACAGAATAAGACACATACATACAGCGTGGGATTGGTTTTGATTTTTATTTGATTCTTTTACCACTTTACTTCATTGCTATATCATATATCATAGGTGCCAACAAGCCCCTATGTGATAGTGTTTTGAGGTGACAGGTTCTCTTTATCGAGCCTGCCTTCCAATACAGCAGATCGAGCACAGTACTGTGCACAATCTCCTGTGCAGCCAGGCTTGAAACCCTTGAGACATTAAGTGCTGCGAGTACAGCGGTCCTGTCTCACAAAGCAGATTGATGAACCGAAGTTCTCCATTCTGCTCCCCGCACTACATCCTAAAGTCACTTGCCGTGGTTCAGGTCCCACAGAAGAGTTGGGGAACCCAAAAACCACAGCGGGAGGTTGGGGCAAGAAACAGGTTTATACAAAGTGCAGCCGTCCAGATCACTTGCAAAAAACGAGCAGCGGCTCCCCTGCTCTACATTTTGCCCTGCAGCAGGGCTAAATGTAGAAAAACCCCACCTGCTGGCGCCTGGAACTTCATGTCCCAGTCTTTGGGTGATAGGAATCGCGCACCTCTGAAATGCTCACCTCACTTGTGCCACTGATTACCGTTATAAATCAAAAGGAAACTGGCACCTAAAGAATGTTTAGTGGTTCCTCCCGCCAGACCCTACACCACTACCGCGTCCTGTAGTGACTTAGGGCCCGGCAGCGCAGATAACAGGAGAGTTATTTACCATCTACTTTTGCAAGGCACACCTTGTTTACATCTTTGAAAGGAGAACTATGGGGTAAGTGTTTTTCCCCAAAGTTCTCCTCAGGGTCACGGGAGGACATATACTAGCATTTTCCCGTGACACAAAGCTCTGTATACCACGAGCTAAAGCTAAGCTAAAGCTCGCGGTATACTGAGACCGCCGCAGCCGGGACGGATCCCGACATTGCTGACGAGATCCACCCAGCTGCGTGACTGACAGCTGGCTCTGCCTATCTAGAGGCAGAGCCAGCTGTACCCGCCCCAAATCTTTGGGCGAACAGTGCAACCACACTGTTCAGCCCACGGATTGAACGAAGAAAATAAAATTGGTGTATGGCCATCTTTAAATTATAGAAGTTCTTGTTCTTTTGTTTAATAGTCTACTGCCTCCCTGAGATAATCACAGCACAAGCAAGTAATGTGGTTGGATACAAGCGTGTCTCCATGTGAGTAAAGATAAAAAAGGAAACAATAAAGTCAAAGATTTAGTCGTCAGGACGTACCTTCAGGCTGTTCACGCATTTGAATGAGTATTTACACTTCTTGGACTTCCATTTTCCTTTGCCCCAACCCTTCCTCCCTGGGACATTGGCTGTATTTGTGGGGGTGTCTGCTCGTTCTGTGTTAGTGCCGCTTTCTATGCTGACAGCGTCATCCTGTGTATAGAAAACAATCATTGGTTATGAATATGAACACACAAATATAAAGTACAGCCCCAGTGAGCTGGGAGTGGTGACTATTTTACAACGCACACAGGGACCATGGGGAACAGAAGTAGCCCCCCCTCCAGAAAAATACATTAAGTTAAAAAAAAGTTAAATAAAACATTTTTGTTACTGGGGTGAGGAAATTTTCCTCAAAAAACTACTCGTCCAAGGTATAAAGCGGGGGCCCAATCTACTTGTCCTGATACAAAAAATAATTTTAACCAAAACTGTATTTAACCGCGTGAAGAAATGCTTCTCATTGGTCAGCACGGTCAGGAGAGGGGGCCAAATATGAGAAAGTAATTCCATTTTCCCATATTACTTAGGAAAGTGAACTTACCCTTTAATGCACATTCTGCGTGTTAGAGAGCACTGCTGCCCGGCTACCACACCGGGTGACACCAAATGACTGGCAGTCATTTTGGCGTCACCCCCTATGATAAGTTGGCCACGCGGTCATGGACTGTGAGCCCAACAGCTGCACGACAGAGGAGGGGACGCAGCGGCTCACAAGCCGACCAAATCACTTCTACAAAACGAGCGTCAGATCCCCTGCTCTACATTTAGGCATACTTGCCAGCAGCAGGGCTAAGTGCAGAAAAAATACTTGCCCCGGGCATCGGGCGATAGGAATCAAGCATCCCTGTTATTAGGCAAGGTACTTAAATGGATTCTTGAATGCGGGTGGGCGTTTTTAAACGTCCCATCCCAACCCGCTCGTGCGCACGGGAAATCGGCTTTGAATGTAAACAGCCAGCCTTTACATACAAGCGTTCAGGCGTCTGTAGAGACGCCCGATCGTTTGTAATTGCGTGCGGGTGTGCGCCCCCTCCACATAGGGAGCTTGTTTGCTCCCTATGCGATAGCAATAAAGTTAAGTGGAAAAAAAAGGTTTAAAAAAATTAAAGTTACAAAAAAAATAAAAAAATTAAGTCACATATCAAAGCAATAAAAAAATGTTTAAAAAATTAAAGTCCCACGACCCCACATGCACACGCAAACATGTGCCGAGTCCGCCTATGTGAGAAAAGGACGATTACATATGTTGCGCCGTGAACGTCGGAATGAGGCAATAAAGCTTGACATGTTTGGTGTCTATTTACACGACGTGACCCCGTCTTTTATATTTTACCAAAAAATTGGGTAATAATAAATGTTCTATAACATAACATAGGGAGAACATAGTTTTTTTTCCAAAATTCTCGGTACTTTTTTCATTATATAGTAAAAAAACAACCCCAGTGGTGATTAAATACCACCAAAAGAAAGCTCTATCTGTCCCCAAAAAGTGGTATAAAATTAATTTCAGTACAGCGTTGCATGATGGAATAAATGTAAGTCAAAGTACCGCAGCGCTAAACACTGAAAAATGGCCTGGACAGGAAGGGGGTGTGAACACACCGGTCAGCAAGTGGTTAAAAAAGAAAAACACCCCCCCAATCTAAGTGGATTATCCATTTGCTTTGGCCTGATCTTCTCTTACTTCCCGCTGGGAAAAGACACAAACAGCACAAAACAAAGGAGGGGGTCTTAACCATTTCCTACACTATGGAAAATTAAAAACAAAACATAGCTATACTACACCTTAATATACACTATATTGGCAAAAGTATTGGGACGCCGGCCTTTAATGGCATCCAAGTCTTAGTCCGTAGGGTTCAGTATTGAGTTGGCTCCGCCCTTTGCCGCTATAACAGCTTCAACTCTTCTGGGAAGGCATCCACAAGGTTTAGGAGTGTGTCTATGGGAATGTTGGACCATTTCTGAGGTCAGGTACTGATGTTGGAGGAGAAGGCCGGGCTCGCAGTCTCCGCTCTAATTCATCCCAAAGGTGTTCTATCGGGATGAGGTCAGGACTCTGTGCAGGCCAGTCAAGTTCCTCCACCCCAAACTCGCTCATCCATGTCTTTATGGACCTTGCTTTGTGCACTGGTGCGCAGTCATGTTGGAACAGGAAGGGGCCATCCCCAAACTGTTCCCACAAAGTTGGGAGCATGAAATTGTCCAAAATGTCTTGGTATGCTGATGCCTTAAGAGTTCCCTTCACTGGAACTAAGGGGCCAAGCCCAACCCCTGAAAAACAACCCCACACCATAATCCCCCCTCCACCAAACTTTACACTTGGCACAATGCAGTCAGGCAAGTACCGTTCTCCTGGCAACCGCCAAACCCAGACACGTCCATCGGATTGCCAGACAGAGAAGCGTGATTGGTCACTCCAGAGAACACGTCTCCACTTCTCTAGAGTCCAGTGGCGGCGTGCTTTACACCGCGGCATCCCACCCTTTGCATTGCACTTGGTGATGCAAGGCTTGGATGCAGCTGCTCGGCCATGGAAACCCATTCCATGAAGCTCTCTGCGCACTGTTGTTGTGTCAATCTGAAGGCCACATGAAGTTTGGAGGTCTGTAGCTATTGACTCTGCAGACAGTTGGCGACCTCTGCGCGCTTCAGTATGCGCTGACCCCGCTCTGTCATTTTACGTGGCCTACCACTTCGTGGCTGAGTTGCTGTTGTTCCCAGTTGCTTCCACTTTGTTATAATACCACTAACAGGTGGCCGTGGAATATTTAGTGGCAAGGAAATTTCACGGATGGGCTTATTGGACAGGTGGCAACCTATCACGGTACCACGCTTGTAGTCACTGAGCTTCTGAGAGCGACCCATTCTTTCACAAATGTTTGTAGAAGCGTCTGCATGCCGAGGTGCGTGATCATATACACCTGTGGCCATGGAGGGGATTGGAACACTTGAATCCAATGATTTGGAGGGGTGTCCCAATACTTTTGGCAATATAGTGTATGTGGGTATTTCAGTCCTACCTCTAAAATAGTCTTCTCGAAAAATGCTTCTATAACAACTGACATTTACGAAATCTGAATCCAACTGCAAAACACAAAATGCCATTTCTGATGCTGACTCACATGTGAAGACAACGTTCGGAAGAAACCGAGTCAGACATAAATAATTATTTTTCTGCGATGTGAAGATTTCATTTTTTTTGGTTCTAAGGCACCATACAGATGAAGTCAGCAACTCTTACAAACTGTTGAGTGGTTTCCAGATAGGCAAATAAAGATCATATCTGCGCTTGTACATTGAAGAGGGGTTTCCCAGTATCAGCCAGAAAGTGAAGAACCGTTTCAGTGTGGTCAGGGGGGTTTCCAAGTATAGAATCCCCCAACCTAAAAAATAGAAAGTTTAGCAGCTATGCCTACCTAACAACCTTAGAATAAAGGTGGAGGAACACCAACAGGAAAGCTTCTAAAGCAGGGGCGCCCACTATTTTACGTCTGGAGATCTACTTTTCAAATGACAAGCTCATTGATATCTGCCAACGAAAAAACCCCTGCATTCAGGGGCGGGAGGGGGCGTGGCGGCAGGCGGGAGGAGAGGACATGGCGATCTACCAGTGATCGCTACGCGATCGACTGGTAGATCGCGATCGACCTTGTGGGCACCCCTGTTCTAAAGCAATCAGAATGTCATGTTGCAGATGGGATAGTTTCCATGATATCGACCATAACGAAGTAGCAACCTCTGCACTCCAGCTGCGGTGCAGCAACAAATCCCATCGTAACCTCTGCAAACCACACCTGTGGCTGTTAGAGTCTTGCAATAGCTCATGGACCTTGTGGTTCCAGCACAGCTGGAGTTTACCTACCCCTGCTTTATATAGTACTGCTTTGGCCTGGATCTCCCAATGAACAGCTGGTAGCCATGCAAGCATTAAAACCTATACGACGGCCCATCGCACCATTTTAAATGACATACTAAACCACCTATTACCCTCTATTAAGCGTCTCTAAACCGCTGCAAGTCATTTGTAGTACATAATGCATCTGTAGGGCTGATTCACGCCATCTGCGTTGGAGCTGCGCTAACACTTATTTCTAGTGCAGACCCAATGCTAGACAAGACCATCTTCTGCCTTGTCGCGGATGGTGCACACACACCCCAGCGTTGCGGTAGGAACAGTAAGGTATGCTTTATTACTTTTCAACGCAGCGGGATGCAACACCGTACAACCACCTTGTACCCCGCTGTGCCAGTAGAACTGAATGAAATGTCACTTGTGACATTTCAATAAAGTTCTAACAAAAAATAAAAGTACGCAGTGTGATGTGCTGGGATCAGAGCTTTGGCACTGTACTCCAGATGCTGTGCGATTAGCATCTGGTAAGAACGGGCCCTTAAAGCGGAACATCCCCCTTTTCCATCATGTGAAAATGCTTCCATTACTGTGTGACACGCAAGGACGATCGGGCAGCAGACTCTTGCCTGTATATAGAAGCTCTCTGCCCCCAATGTCATATGGAGCGTATGCTGCGCACTCTATGTATACATGTGTTCCCTAACAACTGAATGTCGGAATGCCAGCTTATAAGTACTCTGCATACCCAAGCCCCCCAAACCTGCATTGAAGAGTGCCATCAGGAAGGAAGTGGCTGGACAAATAAACATGACTAACTTGTGCAAACATCAGGCGTTCCGTCCAATGTTAAATGTCTGACTCCCCTCCAGTACCATGGGAAGGAAAGGAAAAAAGGTGGCCATACACTGTGCACATTTTGACCAGCTCTTGAAGAACCGGCCAATATTCGCACAGTGGGTGCTACTGTCAGTACCATTTCGGCCGGGATCCCTCAATCAGCTTATCAAAGGAGCCGGTTGGAAAATCTTGGTACGAACATAGCTAGCAGCCAAATAACTGCTGGCTCTAGTTGGCCATTCTGACAGCAGCCGGTGGCAGCAGCAACCATTAGGTCTTGTTCACATCAGATGCGTTCAGGGGCATTCTAAAAAAGCATTACAAAGGAACACACAGTTAAAACAATCATTTTTTAAAACGCCACTAATCCACACCACTGCGTTCAGTACCACTGCTTACAAAAACAACTGAACGAACTGCAGCACTAAACCCATTAAAATGCATTAGCAAAGCATGG